TCAGCAGGAGGCCTATTACATAGATTTCTATCTTTATCTAGGCTCAACTAGTGGCTTCTACTTGTCTTAGTCTTAGAAAAGACTCCCAATTTACCAGAGGACAGTGATGCCTTCTGACTCTTCTGTTGAGGGAAGTGAGAAATAGCAGCTATCATAATTATGGTTAAAAAGCCAAGTGTGACTATAAAAGTTAAAATATAAAGGCAGCTTCATAAAATAACTGAAAAAAATGAAGGAATCAAGATTCTAAAACCCTAAACCAACATCCAAAAATACAACTGTTGTTCAGTTCTTTCTTCAGCTTTATGTGCTTTCATCCACTCACAACCCAACTTGTTATAACAGCTCTGCTGTTGTATTGGTACTGTTATTTTATTTTTGCCAACGGTATGTTGTAACGGGACAGCCAATGTCTGCTTTTGCTCCATCACAATTAATACAATCATATCCAGTATAAAATTTGTCACAGAGATAAAAGGTGACCTGTCAGCCTGCAACAAAAGCAAATTTTGACATCAGGCACACTGAATGTTCCAATTTGAATGGCTCGATTTGTTCTTTTCCGCAGAAGGATACAAAACTCTGAACTACTGTTAGTTTGACATTACAGATGACTTTACTGAAATCTGAAGACAGCAAGTTTAAACTGAAGCTTTCAGGACAGAAAAGTGCAGGTAAAAAGCACACAGCATTTATTCATCAGTCAGCAAGAACACTCCCAAAAGCTGCAAAATAACTTCTTAGATATTTAATATTAGGTACCATTAGCTACCCAAAAAAGGCACGCATGTTTACTGAGCAATGCGTCAGTTAAAAACCACCATCCTTGTTAAAAACTTACTCAGGCGTGCTTCTGCAGCTTTCAAATGAAACCTGGCTTTCAAATGAAACCTGGCTTTCAGAGATCCGAGCACTTCATTCCACAGCTTCAGAGCACTGGTATAACTTGGCAAATGAAAGTCGTAACACTTTACTTCTGTGGTCCTTGGATCATGCGGTCTTACTCACTTTAATATTAGCAGCTCTGAACTCTTCTACTACATTAATTTACAATGAAAATTTCACATTAATTTTTTTTTTGGGGGGGGGTGGGGTGTGCTTTTCCACTAAAGCAGTTCTCTGACCTGGGTAATACAGCCCTGATCACGTGGTTCAATTTCCTCCATGCCACAGCAAGATATTCACCAGCTTTCGTACACCAAAACAGCTAGCAGACCCTGTACGTATTTATGTATGGACCTCCTGACTGCCTCCTGACCACCCAACAGCTTGTTCATCAGACTGCCACTCAGTTCTGAGGTATTCTTCCCAGATCACTAAAGAACATTTCATGGCTAACAAGTCACCAAGCGCCACTACGCTTTCAGAACTTACTTTCCACTATCAATCTTAAAATTCAGACATGCATGCATGCGTTCACAAATAACTTTGAGATGATAAAGTTTGAGTATTCGTAAGTTAAAAACACGTCAGAAATAAGAGTAGGAAATCTTCATTCACTCCTTCAATATGCGACAATACAGGCTTTACTTAAGGGATTGCCTATAACATTGAACCGAGATCAACACTAAAATTCTCTTAACTTGTATACACACTCTTTAACACAGAAAAATACAATTACCTTGGATATAAACAATCATTTTCATGTGGCCCCATGCGATGTTTTTTCATATAGACTAGGACCTTTATCCTCAAGGACTCGCTAGTCTCCAGGTCTTCCCAACTTTAATCTCCCCGAGTATACACGTTGTCCTTCCTTTGCTCCCCGCCCAGCAACCTATAGGCTCTTACCACAGCCAAACTACCAGTTAACTGGGAGGAAACCAGTGGCATTCCCTTTCTCATTAGCTATTTGTGAAATTTGAAAGTGAAGGTTTTTTTTCCTTCTCTGGTCCTTACTTTATGACATGCAGAGTGGTCTTCCGTAGACGGAGCATCTGGGGGGCTGTAATGGAACTGCATAAAGCAGTCAGCATAGGATGCTGTCCGGCTCCAAGTGCAGTCGGAGAAGGCGGCAGAAATCGTCCAAAATACTGTTGAATAATGCTCCCAAGCAGTTGATTTAAATAGGCCCCCTGGGTTTGGGACTGACAACATATAAAGGACAGGCCCTGTAGAAGAAAATTTTAGAAAGTGAGAAGTTGAATACATTTTTAACAATACTTTTGAATAAATCTTTAACAACTGTAGGCTAAATACTTGCTACACGCTGTGTAAACTGCTGCACACAGAGTAACTACTGCCTGACAAATAAGCATCAGTAATTTGCTGCAGAGAGAGGACGGTCTACAAATGAAGACAGAGCCAAGGCAAGGCTTGCAAAGGAGAGAAAAAATCTATTACTAGACTAATTAATATGGTGGAAAATAAGCTTTGGGACAGGCAAGCTCTCCTTCAATTTTGAAATAAAACCTTGGCATTTCGGACCTGAGAAAGTGTCTCTGTGCCCAAGAGCTCCTCATTTCTTTTTTCAACTCTGTACATGGTCTAACAAAGTATATTAGTCAGGTAAGATTTATGAAGGGATACGGAGAATACCTCATCTGTTTGTAAAGCACCCTGTGAAATTTTTGTACGAACAATATAGCAGAAAAATGAGCACTTAGAATCGTGGTCTGACAAGAAAAATTTGCTCATGCTGTGAACAAATTAGGGTAAATTAGGCACCATTTGTAAGGGATTTAGAGGTTTTTTTTTTCAAATCTGTTTAAGATAAGGCTAAAACTGCTGTGATTAATCCAATATAAGCTATGTTGATCCAGAGAAAAACCTATAATGAAAGTACCTGCCCAGAAAGTGCCTATCTGTACACTACCCATAGTTATACAATGCATACGCAATACATTTCCAAAAAAAAGTATTCTTACTGGTACAAGTTGCTGTGAGAAAAAGTTGAGTTTCCTTCCCCTTCCTTTGATTACTGAGAACAACAACAACAAAACACTAAGAAAAAAAAAAAAAAAGTCCTATCACGAGGGTCTCAGTCAGCAGCACAAACAGAAGCCTCTTCAGAATTCACAGTTTTCCCAATAGTTTTGTCCAACAAGAATAATGGCATAAAAGAAGTTCAAGCACAGAGTCCCTTGACAGCAGCTCCAGCACTACTTCAAACTTCCACTAGCATTGCAATCCAGACTCCAGTTTTGGTAGAAGCCTGAGTATTGACGGTTGCTGAGGCAAGCTAATGCTGCTACTAAATGAATTAACAGTTCAAGACAAGCAGCTTTTGTTCCCCAGCTACCGATAAAAGAGTATTTCTGTTGTTTGTCGCACAGGAGTCCCTCCCCCAAAAGATTTTCATCTATACCTGTCTGTACAAACGTGACAGAACAATTCTTTCAGGAAAAAAAGCAGGCTGAGACGGGTAGACGTGGTTCTTGGGGACATGGTTTAGTGGTGGAATGGCAGGGTTAGGTTAATGGTTGGACTCAATGATCTTAAAGGTCTTTTCCAACCTAAACGACTCTATGATTCTATAGCCAAGGGTCGTCTGGGCACTTTCTTGAAATGGGGAGTTCCCACTTCTAGTTCCAAAGTAAACAAATAGAGGAGACATGAGATTTCGAGAAAGGAGGTGCTTCGGGACCTGCCTGAAGACTTGATTTAGGTGGCCCTCGAACACAGACATGGTCAGTTAGGGTTCACCTTCACATACTTGTAGAGCTCCTTGGTAATTTTGGCAAGTCCCAGCTATAAACCCCACACTTCCTGAACTGGGACTTTGCTAAGTTCAGATCCTCCCCTCCTTTTGTGTACGTACAGCAAAATTTTGTAGGAAAAAGCAGTTGCTGCTATATCAGAATTCTTAAAAACACTGTTGGCATGTAGCAGACTCAGAGAGCCTGTTACAGACTGCAGATTATTTAGTAGATGAGCTTGAGTGTTTGGTATTTTCAATAAGATGTCGCAGCAGGCATAAAGAAGAGTTGCCTGTGCTTGCTGTAGTACAGCTTTTACAAAAAGACAGGAAATATTCCATAACCCCAAAATCAGAGCTGGCACTCTTAAGACTCAAGACTGTTTTAACACTACAAAAAAAAAAAAAAAAAAAAAAAAAAATCTGTGAGAAAGTGTATTAATCTGATAAAAGGGACACAAATAACATCAAAACCTTACAGAGGACACCTGTAGCAAAACATAAACATAACGCCTGTGAAGAACTAACAGCGATGATTACTAAAATGAGACAGCTCTTCAAATTGAGGATCAACAAATGCAACATAGTATCAAGAAAAAAAGGAAGAAATCAGTTATTATTAAATAACAAGTTACTGGTTTTAAGGAATTATCCTAAAGATACTTAATAGGTGCAATAAAAAGTAAAAAAATATTAGAATTCAGATATCTGAGAGAACACTGACTAATTTTTGCAGATCTTCTAATAGTTTAATTTGAAGATGGGTCAACAAACATAGCCTGATCCTTCATAAAAGCATTTTCATTTTTTGAGTTGAAGTAAACCAATTCTCATTTTTTGGGGTGTGGGATGGGGAGAGATGAAATCTGAAAAAGAAGGAAGGATTAAATAAAACAAAAAAAAAACAAAAACAAAAACCACAACACCCTGTCAAGGGCATTACTGAAAGATACTCTTCTTGACTAGAGGGGAAAAAAAAGGACATAAGGTAACTAGCGATTTTTTCTTTAGTTATCTGATAAGGATAGAGAGAGCTCTCGAAACCCTATAAGGAGAGCTGTTAAGAAGCATACAAGAACAGGGAAAAAGCATTTTTTTCTGTAACCTAATGTTTTCCTCAGAAAGCATTCTAGGTTCCCTGTTGGTGAGTCAGGCAGAGATGCTGCCTCTCAAAAAAGGTGCAATTTTTAAAACCATGTAGTGATACCAAAATTCTCTCTTCGATAAGGAGGATCCTCCTCATTTTTCCTAATGAAAATGAGAAGATTAGTACCAATGGCTTCCAAGATGCAAATTCTTTTTTCCAATGAGAAAAATCCCATTTTGTTGGAAGCCAGAAAAACACCCCGAAACAAAAAACCCATCTCTTCCATATAGTAGAAAAATCCAGGAGTCAGTCCTCACACACGAAGGGCACATCTACGGCATCAAAGCTCTTCAGGGAAGAATCATCACACCTTTGACCCCAATGTTTCTACTGTACCCTAAAAGTTTCCAGAGAAGAACTTGGATTTCCCTTTTGGACATAGAAGCCCACTGACTTTAGCTCAACACTGTGTTCTTTATTTTGGACTCTTTTTTCCTTGCATAAGTGCAGAGAGCAATGGACCTGGACAACGCCATAACCCAAGCGGCACAAGGGATGAATTACCAACACTGCACAGTAGCTGCAAATCTCTCAGTACAATGGCAAAATATCCTAGGCAGCGCCGGCCAAGGATGCAATTACAAGGAAATCACGTAGAACTTTCTTCTTTTAAATCCAACCAGTAATTAACAGAGATGAAGGAAGCTACTGTTCATATGAGAGAAAAAAGAAACACATGCTACTGGACTGCCATTCTGGACCAGAGATCTGAAATCAATTGCATCAGACCCCTAGGACAATCCCTACAAAGCAGATGGACTTTAAAGGGTTGATAGAGCCACCCTCTTTTTCTTAATTATGTTCTTCAGCCATCTTTTGAGGTTAAAAAAAAATATACAAAAAACCAAAGACATTTTAAGGGGAGCAGAGGGCCATGACAACATCTGCTCCTCATTTTAGCAGAAAGGCAACTGATTCCTGTGCGTGTTCACTGCAGGAACCTTTTGTGGCCAGAGCTGCCTCTTTCTTCTGATTTATCCATATATCTGTAAATCACCTGTGGAGAGCGAAGAACCGATTAGTATGGATTACTGGCACTATTCACTGCAGAAATGCCAAGCTACCTAATGATGACTTATAATATCAGTCCTGCTGTTGGAATAAATCTGCTGTTCACCAATTAACGTTGTACAATTCCTATTAAACACATACTATAATTCACAAAACGTATTAATAAGCTTGCTCAAATATCGGACCACAGATGTGGCTCACAGGAGGGCTTTTAAGGTCTGATCTCTGACAAATGCTGAGCCTGCACAGGCCCATTAAAATCACTGGAAAATGTATGTGCCAAGCACTACTTAGAATTAAGCTCTTTCACCACTCTCCTGTATTTAGACAGAAATCAACCATCTTCTGTGTATGCACAGGATTAATGCTGATAAATCAAGCAGGGTATCTTACCTTTCCCATTATTACGTATATTATGCTTATTCCATGCACCTACAGTGTATTCTGCAAGATAAATTTAAACTAGTATTCCTTCTCTAAAATAAGTTCTGCATGCCGCTTCAGTTCTTTCCCATATTACTGGTAAATGCGTACCAAAATGCCTCCAAATCATTCTCCAAGAAATCCATCCAAGAGCAAATCTCAACTGTTCTCAAATTTCCTGTGGTAAGCTTCAGCAATCCACTATCACAAATCAACACAACTTCTCACGACACAAATCAACTCAACTTCTTTTTAGAATAGCAAAATATCTAATCTTAGATCTTACATGCCTCACTATCTCATAACTAGGAACAGTCCCATAAAATTATAAAATGGCTGTTCATTCATGTTCTTCATGCTTTACTTTCTGAAGTCCATCATTCAAACAACTCGTGAGGACAATTTTGATATTACATCTCAACAAAAATCTTTCTTAGGTCATCAAATATTATCAAAACACATGATGCCCAGTGAAAGAAACAGTATCAAGACACTAAACCTTTAGGCAAGAAAAAAATAATAGTTTAAAAGTTGCTAGAGCTAAGCTATTTTGACAAGGCAGAATCAGTGACTGAGTTTGAAGGAAATTTCTAGGTAAGTTCAATGTATAGGGGAGAACAGATCAGCTCCTAATGACTGTCAAAAGACACAGCTGTATATCCCAAATTTATATATACAGTAAACACAAACGAAATGAGTAAATACAGTCAGTCTAAATTGAGAAGAGAGAAATGCAATGTCTAGTCTTAATTAGCGCATTTGACAACTATTTGTGCTTGTGTAAAATTAAACAAAGCCTGCAGTTTTGATCTGTTAAAAATAAACCTGTAGGTTTGGCGGGGTGGTGAGGGAAGGTGGAATACAGCCATCAGTTTGATGGATTGTGAACTATGCTTGGGGAGAGAAGAATCATAGAATGTTTTGGGTTGGAAGGGACCCCTAGAGGTCATCTAGTCTGACCCCCCTGCAGTGAGCAGGGACGCCGCTAACCAGATCAGGTTGCTCAGAGCCCCATCCAACCTGGCCTTGAATGTTTCCAGGGATGGGGCCTCCACCACCTCTCTGGTCAACATGTTCCAGTGTTTTACCACCCTCATTGTAAAGAATTTCTTCCTTATATCTGGTCTAAACCCACCCTGTTTTAGTTTAAAACCATTACCCCTTGCCCTGACACAGCTGTCCCTACTAAAAAGATTTTCCCCATCTTTCCTATAGGCTTCATATGTTGTCCTGAAAGAAGGAGCTTCATATGTTGTCCTGAAAGATGAAAAATTGGCCTCTGCCATTTTAGGGTGATGAACGAACAAAGGCAGTGCCCTCTTCCAGTACAGCTCAGTGGCACCACCACTGTTCTTGTTTTTAAGCCTGTGCCCAGGTTGCATGGCCAGTTGCATTACCATTACATAGGGTACGTGACTCCTTGGGGAACCTTCTTCTATACAATTGGGAAATTCTATAGGATTTCATAAGATTGCTGCATCAATGAATGTGTGAAATTAATTACCTGCTACTAAGACTGATTTCAAATCCTTTTCAAAACCCACATAAAAGGATCAAATAAACCATATTAAGATTAGTTGTTAAAAGCTCTGGAAAGAGGGAAGTTTTGCAAACCATTGCTTGCAAACTAATATGTTTTTGGAGATCTAAGAAGGTTTTTTAGACAAAGGAGGAGGAGCTGACACTGAAGGACCTAAAGAAGGAGAATTCAGAACAAAAAAAGAAGAGAAGATTCAGATAGAGCCTGGAAGTTTTCAGAAGACTGGGAAAAAGAAAAAAAAAACCAAACCTGAAAAGACCTCTGAGTAGAAATGCTACTCAAGGGCTTTTATGCTTTAACTATGAATAAAGAATTTGCATTTATAAGAAGATATTTTGCATGGTCTCCAAATTCCTGTTTCTTTATTTTCATGTAACTGCCAAAGGATTAAGTTGTAAGCTAGAATATTAACAGGGACAGATCTATGGAACAATGTTTGTCTAACGTTAGGGTGAATTAAGGCTCCTGCACTAAAAGACCACTGCCCACCTCCAGGAACGGGCACCAGACATAGGGCAGCCACCCAAGGAGAGTCTGATCACACATTTCACCAGCAGCTTAAGGTAGTCAAGGTGGGGTTATTTCCAGAGGATGCCGTTTCTGTCTTTTCTCCCAACAAGTTTACATGCTTTCCTTCCCACATATACTGTTCTATCACTTTTCTGATATGGCCATTTGGGTTTTTTTTGGGAGGGGTGGTGGTGGTGTGTGTTTGTTTTGTGGGGCTAGTTACTGGTTGAATCACCTCAAAAATCATCCCATATTCACAGAATCATTAAAGCAAATTAAATGGGAATGCAGAGGGGTGTGAAAGGGAATGAATTTAGCCTTAAGCCAACTTGCTGTAAGCCAACTGTGAAACAATAACCTGAGAAGCCAGAGTGCGCCTAGAATCCACTCGATCTCAAAGAAGCTCAGAAAGCAGTCCCAAGAGATTTTTTTTTTAAACAGATATTGGAATATGTTGATTTTGAGTTGCTTCCAAATAAAAAAAAATTTTAGAAAGAGTGAAACAATTTGAAGCACTTAAAAATGTTGGAACTTCGTAAATACAAACAATTAATAAAATGTAGAAGTTCCATATTGAAATAGGAAAAATAAGTCTCCTCTTTGTCTTCTCTCCCCAGAAGTGTTTGTCAAATTAAAGAATCACTGGTTTTCTTGAAGCAGCATTTGTCTAAAATAAACTATTTGGTCAATAAGATCACCTAGCTTAGCCGGAAAGCACATGGACTACGCAGCAGACTGCTGAAGAGTACGACAGGGAGGTCAGGAAGTCAGAGACTGACAAAGAAAACAGGAAACAAAGGTCCACAACACTTGGACTTCAAAACCAACTTGAGTGGCTTCATCTTAAAACTACATCCGTGTGTGCAGACTACAGAGAAACAGTGCGCTCTGACTAAAATACTAAATTAGAAAGCAGACGGTCACACTCTGTGGTAATATCAGTGTCCAGATGGTCCTACATGTATATAGCTTCTGAAAATACCTACAGAGCAGCAAAGCAAGTCATATTCTGCACATCATTATATAATCATATTCACTTCCATATGACACGCCATCGATCACAACGCAACTTGTGAAAGGAATAAACCTGAGGGATGTTTACAATGTCACCACTGCATTGTTTCACAATACAATCCTGTGAAGTAATCAGTTTAGACTGCAATCAAGATGAAGACTACGAGGAAAGGGGAAAAGAAGCAAGCAAAAAAGACCCAAGGATTTACAAGGAAAACCATGTCAGCTTATTTATTTAAAAAAATATATTCTTTTCTCTCCCTCACCCACAGGAATGAGTCTCTTTCTACAGCATCAACAAGCCTTACAGACTTTCAGGAGTGATAGGTAAGCAGAGGGAAGGGTAAGAGGAATGACAGGCAAGAAGGCTTTAGTCATGTAAGCGTAAGCAGCAAAATTTGATTCAGAAAAACACATTCTCAAACTATTAAGATAAAACAGTGCCATGATATGCAGAGGACTGTCTTTTGTTCCTAAGAGCAACGAAAAAGAGAGTAGCTCACCTTTAATTAGCTACAGTTAGCCAAGTCAAGGATGATTTAAAACATTTGTTTGCTCTGTCATCTCAACAAGTGTCTTGCTACACATTACAATTATCTGATCCACCGTTTCAGAAATGTCTCACATCAGAGACCAGTGTAAACAGCAGGTTGGCTAAAAGCTTCTCTATATACAGTGATTAGACTAGCAGCTCTGGAGCGTACCACAGCATAGCTGCATGCCATGAGAGGAAAGCCAACGGGGTGGCATTTTTCCTTCCACTTCTACAAGAAGAAAACACTTCTCTTGCTGCTTCTTGAAATTCAGTCAACGTTTGTTTTGATTAGGGAAAAAGAAAACATCCTCTGCAGTATGACTCTTTTCCTCAAGATACGTTTGTCTGCTGATAATAGAGTTCAGATATGTACCTGAAGATAAAGAGGTAGGCTTTCCTGAATGGCAGACAGCAAAGCCACAGGCAGCTCTTTGTCCTGCTGGAGCACAGAATGTGGCAGCAGTAAGCAATCCACAATGCGGAACAAGAGTTGTTGCGCTTTGGAAGTAGCCAGTATTGGTGCCCAGAACTTTACCAGACATCCTGGTCAAAAGAAAAAATAAAATAAAGTAAAATAAATAAATACATAAAAATCAAGAAATCCCAAAGCAATTTACAGTCAGGAAAAAAAAAATTAAGAAAGCCTAAAAGAGGCAATTATGTTAAATTAGACAATCCAAGAGTAGCAACAGCAATTGAAATGTCTCACTCCCATGTACTCATTCCACGGTAAACCCTTCAAAAAAGCCCATTCAAGACAACTCAACGTCCATTTACAGTTCAGCAACATTGAAAGTACTAAATTGATTCAATCCATTAAAACTACAAGTTTTTAGGCAAGTGAAGCTGCTTTAGTACAATAACGCTAAAGAAAGGACAGTCTCTCACGTCCCTGCAGAAAAATTAACTAAGCTTGATACATAACACTACTGCAATCTGCACACGAGCACTTAAACATTTACCTTACTGTGTGCATTCATCACGTTTTACAGAGACGCTGCCTTTGCCTTCCCTTCACATTTACCTAACACCACTGCAGCCACATCAGCAACTACTCACACAGCAATTCAATGTCAGGAAAACATTAAATGTCTTTCAAACTGTATTTAATGCACCTAATTTAGCAGATTAAAAAGAATGAAGGGCAGCCAACTCCATTAAACCAGTATGGTCTCTCCAGGTCTTTGTGGGCTCTCAGTTCACAAAATGAGAGCCTCAGAGAACACCTTTCTTGTTTTCAACACATTAACGTATCACTTGTGCAGCTTTGAGCCAGTTTTAAGATCTTCCTTTTGAGTTGAAAAAAAAAAAAAAAAAAAAAAAGTAAAAAAGGTGTTGACGTGCAAATACCTTAACTTTGAGAAACATCTTTATTGCAGGTGAGGTGTAATTTTTCTTGAGAAAGTAACTCTATACTCATGAGTGTTAATACTCAAATACAGATTAAATAAAACAAGATTCCTATGTAGTTGTTCCCACAGACATTCTTAACTCTTAAATTATATTTAATTAGAAGCAAGAAAAAGTTTGCTGGGCTTAAAATACAGGACTATCCCAAGAAAATATGTTTAAGACTGAAAATAATGAAAGATCAAAAGTAGGCTGTTACAAGATATTATTAATCTATAAAAGTCATCCATTATCATCTCTAAAAACAACACAAAACAACATTAATCTTGTGGAGTGAAAGAAAACACAATGATCAATCATAGAGAGAGAGAACGATTACTTAACAATACTTCTAATAATGTTGTCTAAGCTTGCTGTTTTGAAAGAAACGTGCTCATTCCAGCTAAAAGTACTCCTTCTGTCATCGCTGCTGTGATGTATAGCACAGCAGAAGATGCAATCTGACCACAGACAAGAGGCGTTTAGATTTTTTTAAGTTTCTTGCTTTGTCCTTATAATTTAACAAGCCCACAGAACGTGAAGCGATTGAAATACACTTAAATATTTTTTCTTTTAAACCTTGGTTATGTTTTCTAAACTAAAAAGAAAGGACAATTTCTCGCACACAACAGCATGCCTGAAGATTAATCATTTCCTACTGCAAAGAACAGAAAGGAAAATACTGATCTAAAATTAATTACAAGGCTCCAGCCCAACATCTGGATATCTAAAAACATTTAATTTGACGTATGTCTTGGATAACAAAATATGCAGAGATCTTGCAACAGAAAAGTAAAATATTTTACAAGATTCATGTTCCATTATTTTTGATGAACCTTCTGCATCTTGGTCACACTTGTCACTGTAGCCCTTATAATCATGATGTACACTGCGTGTACGTGCAAATCATTACCTCTGTCTTTAAGAGACATAAGGTTTACTCTACTTTTAAAGGTAAGTGGGTCAGACTGGAAAATTCACTCTTAATAAACACCACTTTTCCATCCTCTCAGTGTTTCTACATTCTCATGAACCAATACTAGAATCTGAGCTTTAATAAAGCACAGAGTGTATGAAAGAGGAGCAGTTCTAAAAGGAAGCAGGTTACATTCTTAACTTGACCTGTCCACTATCATAACTCCAGTAAATCCAATGTAGTATGTCGTAACACTGCTTCACTGGCTTGTCACTGTTTCTGGTTTTGTTTAGGTTAAACAGGTGGTTTGCAGTGGTAAAAGACACGAAAACATTTTACTTTGAAAACACTGATCTGCAGGAGTAATTTAAAAAAAAAAACAAAAACAACACAACGAAGTTATGCACTAGGATAAAACCCAAAGAAAATCAGTGGAAGAAAATTAAATATCTAACTGTAACATCTTGGTGACTTTGCTTTTTTAAACCATTAAGATGGACAGTAGAGAGGGGAAAAAAAAAATAAACTACATTTTACCAATTCCTTAAAACTATTTCCTAAAAGAAAAGAGATTGAAAAAGAATTACCTATGATCCAATATGTAAGCTGCAGACCTTCCGGAGGTCCTTTTACCTTCAGATAAGGTTTTACATACTTTAGCACATCACCTAAATACTCCAGAGTCTTTGCTACCATAGCAGATTTCTCAGGGAGCGTCTGAAGGCCACTGTAAGTTCTACCAACAGCCTGAAAAAACAGAAACACTGAAATAAATACAACTTACGAAGTCTCTTAGGAGGTTTGTGTGAATAATTTCTTTTTGTACACCGAACAAAATCTGATAGAAAATTCCTTTTCCCTAAAATTGTCCTATGAAGCTAACACAGAGATGTACAGTACCTTAATGAACTGGACAAGAGCGTTTTTAGGGTCTTGCTTGAAAAGTGACTCTTCAACATGAGCCTTTGAAAGAATGTTTTCTACTTCTGAGAGTTTAAAAATAAGTCTTGTCATTTCAGTCAGCTGGTCCATATAGGCTTTCCCTGTTTGTTACAAGAGAGCACAGCAGTAAACATAGTATACAGTTATGCTTTTCGATTTACTTTACTCCCAAAGTCATAAAATGAAACATGATTTTCAAATGTCTAAAATACAAGGATTCTGCAACCAACTACATCTCTCTAGACAAAGAACATGTGTCTAAACTAGTTATGTTTCTAATACAGATACATGAGTATGAGGAGTATGGATAACCAAGACTTTCATTTTACTGATGGTTTTCTTCAAACTCTACAAAATGAGTATGAAAACTAGTCTCTAGAAGATGTGTTCTACAAATAATTAGAACTGCAGTGTTTTATAGAAGAAGCGATGAAGTATTGCTCTAAGAAAGCAAATAACCAATATAAAAAAGGGAAGAATTACTTGCAACTGGATTTTTTTCCTTTTTTTTTTTCTTTTAGGGCATTCACAGCATGATTTCTGACTATTTACTTCAGATTTTCACTTTTTTCAGAGCAGTTTCTCCATGGGGGAAAAATAGCTTGTCTCCTTGGGAGCAAGTTTTTGTTCTTTGCTTCCAAGGAAACAAGCTCTTTTATCTTTGTTTGTGATAAATTCGTCATATGCAGAGCAGGCAAACTATCAATAAATAGCACAAGCAGCGTAAAGAAACACATTTTGTAATTAGGTAAAAGTAAAGGAATACAAACAAAAATACATTTTGTAATTAGCTGAAAATGTTTGCCAGTTTTGCAATATAGAATCATTACTGCAAACATTAGGGAAATGTGAACACTTACCAACTGTTCGCTCAGCATCTGTCTTGGCCAGCATACCAGGCGGTTGATCTATGAACATTTGCAAAACGCATCGAAACCAAGAACGTACTGTCAAAGCTTCATAGGATGTATAACCCATACTGGAAAAAGATTCACACAGTGCACTGCGTAGGTAGAAGGGGAAGAAAAAGGTAGGGAGATGTAATAAAAGTATGCAAAAAGGTGCCAGAGTGTCTCATTTGGCTGTAGACATACAGAAACGGTGCACAGAAACAATTAGAAATAATGTAGAAAGACCGACTGGCATTCCTTTTGTGTACTCTGCAGCCTTTGCTTGCAACATCCTGATGCCTAAATACAGAGAACGTGATAAATTTGGTAATGCCACACATGGTAGTACAAAAGCATATAAACACATATACATATGATTTCTCTACATAGAACAGAGGGAGAAAAATTCACACAATGGGAAATACCTTATTCTAGCAATGGATAATTTGACAGTACTATCTAAATTGCCGACGGACAATGCTGGGAACAGTTTATCTGAACCAACCTGGAACTTCATATTGACACTGCTTAAGCTATCCCAGCCTTTCATATAAAACTAGCTCAGGTGCCCCACACTACTCTGAAGCCTGCTTAGTCCTTGCTACGTAAAAGATGGAGGTGGTCTGCTTTAGCAAAGACAGACATGTCGCATAAGAAACAGATCAAAAAGGGAAACATAAAAAGGCCGCTTGGAGATGACAAAGGAAACCGCTATACTTGATGTACCCTTACAAACCCATGTATTTAGGCGTGTATACACACACAAGTATATATATTCACACACAGAGCAAACTTGCTGTATATATTTCTAATCAAACACTCGCTACTGTTCTACCAGCCAGGTGGCAGGCTGGAGTCAATGGCACCACCAACGCTCCATGCGCAATCCCTGTACTCTACTCTTCAGTATTCCCAAAGTTTTACTTGCCTTACCACCGCGAGTAGCTGCTGCAGTCGCTTTTCCCCAAGTATATTGGCCCAGCATCATTAATTCTGCAGAAGCTCCTGCTAACGGACAGCGCGTCTGTTCTGTACCCTGTTTGCAATTCCTATCGGATGAGCTCTGTGTGTGCTTCAGGTCAGTGAAATTTCTTGAAAATAGTTACACCTTTTTATTCGAGAGATTTCCGCCCTGGTCAGTCCTAGGTGTTTTGACTTTAATGAAAAATGCTTGTACTCTTTTCTTGATGTATGTACATATAAATCTACTTATTTTCTACTGAATTTTTACTTATGCTTGCAAGAGAAAGTCAACACAGGTCCAGATGGAAACCAAACTGGATTCTGTTTCTCACTGAACAACATTAATAACACTTCTTTTTTTTTACCTATTTCATTTAGTTAAAACCAATGATAACTGTGTATTTTGTCTGAACATCCCTGCTGAAGTACTATTGACAAAATAAACAAGGAGACTAAAATGCAAGCAAATAAAATATAAAAATCATAATTAAATTCTAGTACCAAAAGAGAAAAAAACAGGATTCCTATGGACTTAAAGCTTACATAAGGCTGGAATGTTTTGTTATTTATACATTACTGCAAAAAGCATTATGTACACAGGTACTCTACTTGGCCCCAAAGGCTTACAAAAATATTTTCTGCTGTAGTCTCACTCTTGTTTCTCTTGCTTGCTGGTAGGTAGGGCACTTAAGCATCTTCCTAAAACTAGAGAGGAACTCCTAATCCTTAAGAAAGAAAAGAACAATAACTACCTCCTAGAAGCACGGCAAGCGGTCCTTTTAAACCAGTGAGCCTACACACATGCTCAAAGTTAGTTTAAATGGGTTAGAATCCTATCACGCGCTACACAACATGGATCTGGAGAGGAACTTCTAGGCACTACTGCAAAAGAAATGCCAAAGCTTGTGCGCATGTTCCTAAGGGCACAGCTTGTCCATCAGAACCTTTATTATTGATATTGAAATAGCTGATATGCAGAATAAGCTTCAATCTTAAAGAGACCAGGCAGAGCTTGCAGGGTATATAACAGCATCAGCAATGAAATAATCTTTTTACTTTTTAATGAGAATGTTTGATGTGAAAATTATCACAACGCAGTAACCATGAAGTCTTAAGATCCCAGCACTTAGATACTTCGATAACTTTTGCTCTGCAACTGCCTAAGGTAAATAAGTACATGAATCACGCTACAAAAAATTGGCGTCTTATTAGCATATAATAAAATGACAGTGTTTAGAGCATGATACCTCTGTATAATTCTACCAAAAAAGTCTTATCACAGGTACTCATTGTCCTTTCACAGGGAAATCTGAGCACCTTACAGCTCTGCTGATGAGGTAGGGACATACCTTTTGCCTAGTCTCACCTTGTTGGCCTTCAGGCAACTGGTATGGGAAACAGACAATTCTCCTTGAGTCTAGGCATTTGTAACCCCAACAGCTTAGGGGCAAAAATATTTGCCTCTATGCGAGTGCTTTCTGTCCCATGCTTCCAGCCGTGGGGAAGATTCAGAGAAGCACAGCATGACAGAGAGTGAGAGAACATATGAGAGAAAACCAGAAGGAGTGAGAAAATACACTCACGTAAGCAAAGACAAATACCCATCATCACTCGGCTATGCAGTCATGCTTTTTCCTGCTAGGTCTCTCAATATGGATCCAGGAACCTGACATTTGCAATTAGTCCATGGTACAACCTGCAAGAGGAGGGACAAGGTCCCCTCGTTCCTTTCTAAGGTGGCATTTGGAAATGTAAATGTTTAAATTCCCTCAGATTGCAAGACCCACTTAACTTGGGTTTTCTGAATTCTTGCACAAGTGCTCCGGCCTCTCAACTAATGTACACCAGGTAACTATCATCAATGCTAACTGCATTTTTAGATGAAATTGTGGCAGCAGGGCTGTATGGGGAACTCACTATTAGCCATGTGTGTGTGTTCTGCGCTTGCTAATGCAACCGTGCTCCCAAACACTTGGGAACAGGAGTGCTTCAGCTGTGGTTCCAAATGGAGTAAATGTTACCTCAGCCAGCATAGCAAGGTATCTGTGGATACATATGTAACAATATGTCAGGTGCTTAATGAATATTGCTAATTAATACTTAACTTAGTAACTGCTTTAAATCACTTAAGTGTTTACTGGGGGAACCAGTAATTAGCCTTAATCACCTAAATTATACCAGAATTCCAGTTCAGGCATCACCATGTTTTTCTTGATTTCACCCGAAGAGCAATAAAATTCAAATTACAAATGGGCATTTATGCGCTTAACTCCTATTACACTCAGCACGTGCTAGGTATCTGCAACTCTGCACGAAACTCACCCTATAAAGACCATACAAGAGAAAGACAGCAAATCAGAGGACTGAGCGCTCCTCCCCTGAGTTCCAAACTGACACATGAGGAACTAAATTCAACCTCTTTTAATATCTCCCTGCAAGAAGGCCGCAGCCTCATCTTTGCCAATCACACTGAAATAGTCTTTACCATATTCTGCTTTACAGCTATGGTCCTAGTACAACATGTGCCCTAAAAGTGTGCAACATTTTTCACTTCAAATACAGTTCAACATAGAAACAATCCCTCTTTCTCTCTCACCTTTCACTTCCCCTGCTTCCAAAGCCTGATTCAGAAGCAGGGTGAGAGGGGAAAAAACCCCACACCACAACAACCACCACCACCATCCATCTCTCTTATGTTCACAGAGGCCTACTTAAAGCAAATAAAATTTCTCAGGTGTATAAAATTCTGACTGGACAGAGTCCTGGGCAATCTGCTCTAGCTGACCCTGCTTGAGCAGAAGCACTGGACAAGTTAGACTACGTGATCTCAAGAGTCCCTTCCAACCTAAACAATTCTGTGAAAAAAATCCTTGGCATGTAAAACATAGGAATATGATAAATTTTCTAAAATTGTTATTTAGGTTAAACCATCCGTTTAGCAGGTCTCAGAAACCTGAGCTACATGAACATTAATACGTACTCAGAGAGTGTTCCAACCTTGTCAAAAAGAAAGTTTTAATGCATACATTTCCTTATGATCATTTTCCTTATACTTTCAATATTGCCCAACCCATCGTCCTCAGCTTCCTGCAGAAGTTCTTTATTTCGAAAAAGTCAAGATATTTAAATATTGAATACTTACTATATAGCATCTTCAGATTTCTGTGATAAAGTTTATCTTGACTTTTTATAAGATGATTTAACTTTTTGTGTTAAGGTAGGGGAAAAATAAGTCCAGCACTTTTAACTAGAAATTTTAAAATTTACCAAGTTAGATTATTCAACTTCAAATGCAGCTAGGGCAAGAGGCTACTGCCTTGCCAAACCATAACAACTCTGTGCAAGTGTAACAACAATAGATGGGGATGAACAACTATAACTATGCAAATTAAAAATAGGTTATGGGTTCAGGCATTTCACTTTGATGCAGAATTGCTCTTCATGGAAGTACTTCTCTGAAGATACTGTCTAGGTCCTCATTTTCCAAAATCTGTTAGTAACAACACTGTTTCCTTTGGGAAAAAATAAGTGGTTTTCTATAGAAAAGACAAGTAACTTTTTCAAAATACTTACCTATCTTCCTGACAAATTTGGAGCATCTTAAGCTATTTACAAGATAAAACCAAACAAACAGCCCAACCCAAATAACACCCTCTATTCCCTGTGAAATGTCCCAGATGATTTCAAGAAACCCAGAACTTTAGCAGCTGCAAAGAACCTGGACCATCTTAATGAAACATTACTGTTTGAAGCAACGTTTTCCTCAAGTCTAATGAAGGAATGACAAGGTAGTGGAAAAACAAGTAGTCACAATTTTTCACCTGTTTTGAATTAGGTGACTTAGGTATCTTGACACCAGCTGAGGCCACACCATGTCATCCCATCCAAACAGCTGCATCATTGATAGAACAGGCTGTGGCTGAAGATCTGATAGGGCTTTGCTGGGTATATCCAAAGCTAAGAGAGTAAAACCTGATTTTAAAGAGAGAAAAACATGGCACCGTGTTATCAGTTTCTCAGTACATCCCTGTTCCACTAAAAAGCATTGAAAATTAATTACGAGTAAGAATGTGCAGTCTGGGAGTACCAGAAATCTCAATTAAAACTGGGCGACTATTCTAACAGACAGCGTTTGTACACATGTTAAAATGTAGTCTCTGTCCCAAGGAGTTTGTAAGTCAACGTGACACGCTGAACACAACGGAGGCAAAATGGATCCAAACATTTGCAATTTTAAATATATTCATGAAACCACAGATTATAAATCCCAAAGGCATAGCTTTACCACCTATGCACTAAAAACCATGTCTTAAAAACTTGCTTCTTGGCCTCCATTTCTTGCCTCCATCGACCACTTCTTTCCTTGTACACATAAGTATTACTCTGCTTTACAGGGTTGAGTTTTATTTATTTGCTTTGTTGGTTTTGCACACTTCTCATCACAGTGAAGAACTGTATCTGGAAAGAATTCACTCAGTAAAACCTAGTACCTGTCTATCTTAGAATAGACTTTCATGTATCAGAAGTTACTGTGTAAATAAAGCACTATGGACAAGCTTATTCTTGAAAAAAGGACCTTCTACAACAGTTGCAGAACTAGAGACTGGGACAGTATTTTGCACAGAGTTTTTGTTAATGAAGCATAACCTTTTGCTGTTTCTGTTAGGTCTACTGTGGAATCTACATCTGACACCACTAGAGTAAAAAAATAGAGCATGTGCTTTATGCTGCAAATGACAAATGCATTTAAACTCAGGGAGAAAAGGTAATCTGAAATGCTGAGCAGGTATTAAGTTACAGGACATCAGAGGCACCAAATGAGTCAGGAAAGCTGACTTTGCAGGGCAATGCAATAAAAGGGCTCACTAGTTCCCAAATTCTCCAATTCAAGTAAAATATAAATTAATACTAATTTATTAAAATAATGATTTATAAAACTGCATACATTGAGAAGCTGACTTTGAATTAGACAGAAGAGGCTACTTTTCAGAAACAACAATTAAGCTATTTTAATTAATGGTATAGCGACAGACTACCTCAAGCTATGAAGGACTGCACATTTCCTTATGTGCCTCAGAATAAAAAAGAAGGTCATGCAGAGTCCTCGCTCTGCCTTAGGTGAGGAAGCAATTTGTGCCAGCCTTCTCCCAGATTATCACATTGTTTCTGCAGCATCAGCCATAACGCGGGTGGGGGAGAAATGGGAGACAGAAACGATGATGGGAGTCCCTGGCTATTTGCCTGGCAGGGGGAGCAGGAGAGCTGTGACAGCCGCTCTCTCCTCTGGGCTGCAACCTCTAAGGCAAGAAGCTCATGCAGCGTGGGAAGGGTCTGCCTTCCTCTGTAGTACTGCCTTAACACGCCTCTATAAAGCAGGTCACCACTGCACTCCCCTGCTTCTAAGCAGGGTTTATAATAGGTTGTTCTTCTTGCTATTCCACTGAGTTAATATAAAATAAAAAGATAGGACACTGTAGGAAATGAATGAAAGTTTTGACGTTAACAACCTCTGCCTTTGATTTGTATTGCTGTTTCCCATAGATGCTGCAGCAGTGTGAGAGACCACTACCGTCGCACGCTGCCTCCTTCATTAACGTTACCTACTAACTCCTGCAGAGCCGCTTCAAATGACGGGTCTTTCAACTTTTCTATTACTCACTCAGTATTTCTGAGCTTGTAATTTTATCTAATTCATACCGTGATGGGAAAAAAATACTTTATATTTCACTTCTCTAAATTTTAGTTACAAAGATACAAGATTTCCTTGTGACTACAGAATACAATGCTAGCTACTGACGTTAAAGATCAAACTGGGATTTCTTTCTCTACACCGCCATGCTGACTTGTTGCAAGTGGAGTTCACATACATATGGAAGGTTGTACTTCAATAAAATTGTAAAGCAAGATAAATAACTAAAATGAATTATGAAATCTTTTTATGACCATGACCATAAATGTTCAACAAAAAGCAATAGTCATGTAATCAACCTTTTAAAAATCTCCTTCAAATGTAAAATATTATTTAAAAGAAATTTAGTTTGAATCGCAACCATAATGAAAAGAATAGTTCAACACAAAATTATAATAAAATTCTACAAAAAGATGTAAATCCTAGATATAGTGAAAGAAGTTCTCATTTATATTGTGTAGCATTTGCGATCTTGATTATAATCTGCGACTAGTAGGGAAAAAGAAGTCAGGCTTGTACAGCTTCAAACCCCTTTGGAGTTCTCAATCTGTTTGTATTCTATCAAGTAATTGAACACTACAACATTTCTTCTTGTCAAAATATTTAGCAGAGAATCTACTGTTTGCATTGATTCACATTTGAGTTACTGCATGGAAGTAGAAGTATCCCAAAATACAAAATCCCTGAAAGTTTGTGACCCAGAAAATAGCACCAAATCCGGTAGTCGCAGGGAGGGTCAATGCAAACCTGCAGCTGTATCAGCAAGCTGTGGGGAAGGTGGCATCTGTGACATTCTCTGGCTCTTCACTCTTTAGCCACTAATGGAAGCTGGGCATCTAGGGCCGTGCTCCCTACTTGAAGTCCCTGGTTCGCTCGTTTGTGCACACTCCTAGGGAGAAACAAAAAACAATGTTTATGTTCAATAAATGAAAAATTCACATCTTTTAAAAACGCATTTACAACTACTTTAAGCCGTAGAGCCTGAGAACTGAAGGATCATTTTGTGCAATTAAAACCTTTATGCAAAGACATTATGCGTACCAGTTATTTGATGGATGATTGATGGCATATTAAGCGCCATAAAGTTAATGTTAATTACTAATGTCAACCATTAATTATATGCTTTTTAATATGTCAGATCAAAATGAGAAATAGGCAGCTTTAAAATGAATATCTGCATTTTGCAACTGCTAGCATAACGAGCAAGTCTGCTTACAATCCAAAGCCAGATGCTTTTTTAAAATTTTTGTCAGTAAGGTTTTTAGGTTAGGGTTGTGTACAGCAAATAATAGCAGATGATTTGGATCAATTGTAAAGCTTCCTTCTGAAACCTATTTCTCATTTGTAAAAGCTCACCAGGTACAAGTTTTGATAAGCGAAAAGATTCATTTTATCCTGATGGGCTGCAGACAATTAGGTTTGAAAGCAATGCCCACAGCTTTGTTAGTACAGTAAGGACAAAAGTTACCACTACACATAACTCCCATCTCTTCCTGAGACAATGTGGCATGAAT